GTTTTGTGTGCCAGTGAAACCTATTCTGCTAATAGAAGCAAATGACCTTCTAGACTATACTATCTTCTTCTTCTACACCGGGCGGCCTGAGTTACATTGCCCAGGAACTGAATTCCTAGATTTAATTTTTCTAGAAAAGTGAAACCTTTCCAACCTTGGGGATTATAAACAAATGGGTCTTGGGCTGAACAAGAAAACACAGCAAAAAGTAGCAGAAATTCATATGTGAAACAAGTTAAAGGGTCACTGTTAATACTAGCAAGGGTTCTTTCACCAGTAATTATGGTATCCTGACAAGTGAAGTAAGACTTAGAGCAAATAACCGTTGCTAGTTTGGCTTAGGTGTGGATTCAAGACCCCATTCTTCACTTAATAGCTTCGAGGCCTTGGGCCTGTGATATCAACTCTTTGAGACTCAGTTTCTTCATCTGCAAAATGAGAATGTAGTTCTGAAGTTCTGTGAGTATAATACTTAGATGCTGTAATGTGGCCCTGACTTCCTGTATCCAGCAGGAAGTAGATTACATGGAATGTATATATTTTCTGCCACATTAAAAAAATTAATGTGCTTGATTTTATAATGTGTCTCTCCATGTCTCTGAAAACTTTGAACATCTCAGGACACACATGGGAAACAGTGGATGTGAGAAGGAGGCCTGAAGGGAGTTGGGAGGAGTTGTAGAGGGGGTGTATAGAGAGCAACATTGGTAAATAGGGATTGACCCTGCTGCAAATTGTTATCCTTATTTATTTAAGTTGTGACTCTAATCTAAATTATTCAGTTAGGAAAGAATAGTTCAGGAGGTTTAGGTTTTTGCCCAAGTTGATTTTTGGGTCTTTTGGAAAAGAGCTGTGACTATAAGAAAAATTACAGGGGCTGGACTGGGAAATGCCTATATCCTATACCCTCCAGGCAGGAGGAACCAGAAGAGTTTCTATTTTTTGGAGACCAGTTCTCTAGCTGAAGAGGCTGAGGCAATTTGAGTGCCTCAGAGTTCATTCCAGAAGGGTGGAGGCATTCATTGCCATAAATGAGGCACAACTGGGCCCCTGTACAAGAGCCTGTGGGCGTTCAAAGAACTAGGGCTGAGCAGTTCTTCATTTGCATCCCTGACTGGGGAAAGAGGGACAGGCAGATCTTCTGACCCCAACAGTGCATCTTCCCACCATGAAAACACCCATTACTACCTGACAGCTGCTCTCTGCTATGTTCTTACCCACAGGAACTTTTTTGGCTCTTTTCCTGTTACTCTTGTTTGATCCAGCAAAACCCAGATTTCTTGATGGAAAGAACAGGTTGCTCCTGGCTGGGAAGGGCCTGCAGCTGCATGTTTTTGCTTCAGAGAGAATCCGCCCTCCATGAGAGCGAGGACACTTTGGCTTTAAGGACTTCCTACCAGTGGAGGCAGGCTGCAGGGCCGTGTGGACTCTCTCTCTCTGGCCTGCTATTTCTGAGGAGCAGGATGAGGGGCTAGCACTCTTCTTGCTAGCAGGGACAGGAGCGACTGTCACTTTTCTGTGAGTTAGTGATTTCCACTCTGACATGGGTCAGAAGACAAGAGGCTCCTTATTGTTCTTTCCATTGTAAAAGTACATCATTCTGTGTGTTCCTTTTATAGCCTACCTGGTCAAAAGGGACCTAGTACTGTAGAATGGGAGAAGGAGAAGAGACCTAAGGCACCGATCACTGTGAGTTCTAATGGAAGACTGACCCTTCTTCAGAGTTGGAAACTGAGGCCCTGAGGAGACTTGGCCAAAGTCTACTTAATTATGGAGCTAGGACTGGAATCCAGGCTTCTTGGCTCTTATTCCTGTGCTCTCTGTCTTGCATGAAGCCAGTGGTGAGTGTGCAGTGTGGCCCAGAAGCCACAGATGCACCTGTCATAAACTCTGCTATAGGCTCAAATGACCACACTAGAATATCCAGAGATGACCACCTTTGCACAATGGGATCCCGTGCTCTAGTATGTGGGGACATATGGCCCTGTTTCTACTCTCTTCCTTCTTCACTATGCCATGGCATGTGAAGTCTTCATCCTTTCCTTCCTCATTTTCCTTGTTCCCTTCCTTCACAGCTGGTCTGTGATCCTGAGCACATTCCATAATCTGCTACTCTGGTAAACTTCTCAAGTTTGACATTGATTGTATTCCAGGATTAGAGCGCTGGGGGGAAAGAACTTTTGGGAGAGTGGATCTTTGAAGAGAAGAAGGGGATTAGGAAAGGAAGGGAATTTGAGGTCCACTGTGGGGTTCCTGGAAGTGGAAGAAGTGCACTGTGCAAACAAGGGCAGTTGAACAAAGGTAGGGCATGCACGGTGCCCGTCGCTGACTCTGGCACACACTGGGTTCAGGCTGGTCACCCTCGTGGAGCTTTGGCCAGAAGAACTGTTAACTCATTAGGAGGTGTGACTATCACCTGACGGTGGGAAGCCAAGTTTGACTGCTCAGGTGATAAACTTCTGAGTGCTTTGGATTAAATTTTGCTGATTTTCTGTACTATGACCACTTTTCCTCCCATGCCCTGCTAACTCTGCAGCTGCCCCACCTCCCCCAGGTCAGCATATATATGCAGGAGTGCAAGCTGGCATGCGCATACACACACATACATACACACTCATACAGACACACAGCCCCCAAGAGGAACAAAATTGAGAACCACACTGTGTGTGTGTGCTCATGTAACCAACCCGCTTGGCTCCCAAAGGAGAATGACACAGCTCTTTCTCCTGAGCTAATGCTAATGCTCGGGAGTGCTGAGCAATTAACTGTGATGTGGTGGAAAGGCTAATGAGTTCCCAGTCATCTGGACCTTCAGTGCATTTTAAAAAATGAATTAAATGTGACCTTTTAATTTTATTTCTTTTTTTATTATTGCATTGTAATTATACACAATAGTGGGATTCATTGTTCCATATTCCTACATGCACAAACATAATTTGGTCAATTTTATTCCTCAATAATCCCCCCTTTCTTTCCCTTCCTCTCTTTCCCTGGCCCTCTGCCTCTACCCTATTGGTTTCCCTTGTATTTTCATGAGCTTCCCCCTTTTTCCTTTTTTTATTTTTCTTTTTAGCTTGTAAATTATAAGAGGAAAGCCCATTGACTTCTTGAGTTTGGTTATTTCACTTAACACTCTCAAGTTGCATCCACATCCTGTAAATGACATAAGTTTGTTCTTCTTTATGGCTCAATAGAACTTCATTATATATAAAATGCCACATTTTTCTTATCCATTCATCTGTTGCTGGATACCTAGGCAGATCCCATAATTTGGCTATTGTGACTTGTGCTACTATAAACATGGGTATGCTTTTATCATTGTAGTATGCTGACTTTAATTCTTTAGAATAAATATTGAGGGGTGGAATAGCTGGATCATTTGGTACTTCCATTCCCAGTCTTTTGAGGAACTTCTGTACTCAGTGCATGTTTCTGCTCTGTGACATGAGCCTCTCTGAGCTTCAGTTTCTTGGTCTGTGATAATCAGTCATTATTTCAGTGGAATGTTGTGAGGATTAGACCAGGTCATGCATATAAATTGCATGCATGGTGTCATCAGTTAGTAAATCATGGACATGATTAGCTATGATCACGAGCCTCAATTCCTACTTTGCCAAAGAAGTATAATAACCTCTTTGCCTCCTGGCACTGTTGTGAGGATTGAATGCATGTTATTTTTCCTTCACATGATAGAATGCCCTACATATTCCAGGCAGCCATGTGATAAAGAGTATGCCCATGTCACGGATTCAATACATGTCTTTTCAAGGGGAACAGAATGGACATGAGGGTCTTACCCTATTTCCAACTCCTGGGTTCTTAAGGCCTCTAGATTGCATCACTGACCTATAGTGCTCGGTGTGTTCCTTGAATTATCCACTCCAGGAGCCCCATTTTGCCCTTCAGCATCCCCCCGGGAAATACTTCCTACCAAGATGTGCTGCTGGAAGCCCTAGTTTCTTTTCTTTTTTTAATAAATTATATTTTTGTTAGTGCACTATAGTTATATATTCTATATATTCTAGCAGGGTTTATTGTGACATATCCAAATATGCATATAACATAATTTGCTCCATTTAATTCCCCAGTACTTCCTCTTTCTCTTCTCTCCTCCCTCCTCCTGATCCCCTTCCTCTACTCTATTGGTTTTTCTTCTGTTTATTTTTTTTTAAAGTTGGTACATTATAATTATACATAAAAGTGGGGAAAGCCCTAGTTTCTGCAGCAAGTTAAGCTTCAGTATAAAAAGAGGGAACTTCCTGCTTAGGTGATGATTTATTTGTCTTTTCTTCCCAACAGCCCTTAATCCCATGGTTCCTTTAGCTTCGGTAGACATTCTGTATGTAGGTGGTAGCTCTTTCCCACCTTACCCTGCTTCCTCCCAGTCCAGGGAAGATAAATCTCTGGCATGAGCAGCTCCTTCACTGGTAACAGTTTGAGAATATGAGCTTAATTCATAGTTGTCCAAAGGAGTCACTCAGCAAGGACCAAAGCTGGCTCTGGATGGGGCATGTGGTTGCCTTCCACCCCTACCTGCTTCAGGGAGTCATGACCAGAGCCTCACTTGACTGTTGGAGTTGCAATATATATATATATATATATATATATATATATATATATATATATATATATATATATATATATTTTTTTTTTTTTTTTTTCTGGTCTGGAAAGCTATCTCTATATAAAGCAGTGGCCCTTGTAGTTTAATTTTGTACCTCCTAATTTCCTTATGTAGGACCTCCCTGTGGATGTGGTTGAGCACAGTCTTCTCAGTGAGCCACAGAGCTTTCTTCCTGAGGCCTCCTCCCTCAGTCTGGGCTGATTCCATGAATAGCCTACCACTCCTTAGCACAGAGGGCCTGGCTGTAAGGTCTGGGCCTGACTAGCACTGGGGTGGGGTGAGTTGGAATGTCTCATCGGATATGCCCTTTCCCCCCTTCATATCCCTTCTGGCACTGTTAACTTTGGGCTGGTTCTGCTTCTCTTCCACCTGGCAGGACCTGTGTGGGGCCACTACCTGTGACACCCTGGGCATGGCTGATGTGGGCACCATGTGTGATCCCAAGAGAAGTTGCTCCGTCATCGAGGATGATGGGCTTCCGTCAGCCTTCACCACTGCCCATGAGCTGGGTAAGACTGGAAGGGAGGAGAGTTACCCCCTGGGACTGTACTGGGTTTGTGTTGGGTGCTTTGTGTGGGTGAAGTGGGCAGACATTTGTCTTTGGTCTCATATTCTGAAATCTCAGGGAATCCTTTCTTAGGGTTAGCATCTCCTTGGCTGTGGCTTTATTTCACTTTTTTCTTATTGTCCCAGTTGGCCAGTTATACAGTCAGAGTACCTCTGCAGAATATCTGACGTTTAGGCACTATGGGGAGAATATATTAAAGGCCAGGAGACCTGCTTCTGTTCTCAGCAAGCTCACAGCCTAGTAGAGGGGGACAGAAAACAGGAGCCTATGATCTTGAGGACATTGGCAAAACAATTCATTGACAGGTGCAAATGAACAGCCTGGAAACCATTTCACAGGCTTTCTCCTGCCCCCTGCCCTGATTCCTCCCTCAACCCCTCATGCCTATCCTGTGTAGCCCTCTCCTCCTGAATCCTCATTTCATTCCATAGGTCATGTGTTTAATATGCCTCATGACAATGTGAAAGTGTGTGAGGAGGTGTTTGGGAAGCTCCAAGCCAACCACATGATGTCCCCGACCCTCATCCAGATTGACCGTGCCAACCCCTGGTCAGCCTGCAGTGCTGCTATCATTACCGATTTCCTGGACAGTGGCTATGGTAAGCTGAGGTGGCAGAGAGGAGTGGGTGGCTTGGCAAGGATGTCTTTGCTGTCATGTGGTGGTTCTTGCTACCTTTCTGGACTGTCCTCTGTACCCAAGTCATGTAGCCCCAAGAAGTTGGGCCCTGATGTGGGTCCATCCTAGTTGCCCCTTGATTCTTTCCTTCCCTACATCTTAGGCCAGCTAAGACCCACTGTCCCCAGCTTGTCCTGATAAATGTCCTTGGCTCTCTGTAGGTGACTGCCTGCTGGACCAGCCCAGCAAGCCCATCTCCCTGCCTGAGGACCTGCCAGGCACCAGCTATACCCTGAGCCAGCAGTGTGAGCTGGCCTTTGGCGTGGGCTCAAAACCCTGTCCATACATGCAGTACTGCAGCAAGCTGTGGTGCACTGGCAAGGCCAAGGGGCAGATGGTGTGCCAGACCCGCCACTTCCCCTGGGCAGATGGTACCAGCTGTGGTGACGGCAAGTTCTGCCTCAAGGGGGCCTGTGTGGAGAGGCACAACCTCAACAAATACAGGGTGAGTACTGGAGCTGATGAGTTGGGAACTCCTGAAAGGAGAGGAGGAGGTCTGTGACCTCTGCTACCTGGTTTCCACTGGGAAGTTGCCCTGTCACAGATTGGCTGTGTGACCACAGCTGACTCACGTTGCTGCACTGTGTCTCCATTTCTGTCTATGGTTGTAACCTCTTTTTGACTCTGAGAGTAGAGAAAAAGCTATGGTAGGTCAGAGGACTTGGTGAAGCCTTACAGATACGTGGGAAACAGCCTTCGACAGGACTGAGGTCAGCCCTGTGTTCTGTGCCTTGTCCTATGTGGGAGGAGCTCTGGACCCAGAGCTGAGTAGTTGACATTAGGAGTGGCTTACCGCTGGCTCCATACTTTCTTTCCTCATCAACTATAGCGAGGGAGCCAGGGACCACACAGATGAACAAGGATTAGAGATGCAATGAAGCAGAGCCCTGGGCAAGCTTCAGTAACTTGACACATCCTGAACTCTGCTTTGGTCTGTTGTGATTTTTTTTTTAGCTGAAATACAATTGAACAAAAGTCCCCCTGCCCTAGATAAATAATAAATAGGACTAGCAATCAAATCAGAACAACAGAACCCTAAAGATTCTCTGAATATAATACAAACTGTATATTCTTTAGGTCTTGAGTTAGTGTAGTAAAGGGATTTGTACTTTTCCTGGCAGGAATAAGAAGTCCATCCTTCTCCCAGATCCTAAACATGACTGTCCCTTACCTACCCTATTCCCAGCTGGAGAAAGACTTGGGATAGGGTTTTATGTGAAAAGAGGAAATATTTTCACCAAGCACCTCAGATGGATGTGGGAGAGCATTATTTAAAATCTTGTTCTGTGACCTGGGAATATGTATTTAACTAAATCTTTAATAATTTATTAGGCAGCAATGCACTGGCTTCAGGGAACTGAATAAGGTACTGTGCTGGTCAGAAAAAGAAATAAAATGTAGGCCATATCCCAGAAAGCTCATAGTCTTGTGAGGAACCTAGAAATGTCATTAGAATACAGACATGGAGAAGCAAGTATTCTGAGTTACAACAGAGGTATAAAAATGTGTTATGGGAGAAGCAGGGGTGAGAGATTAAGCAGAAGGCACTGAAAAAACTTTGAGGAGGAGGAGACATTTGAAGAGAGCCTTGAGGGTTGAGTAAGTGCCCAATAGGTGGAGGTGCAGCAAGGCAGGGAGTTGGGACTGAGTGAGCTAGTGGGTGGGTAGCTGAGGGTTCAGACTAGAAGATTCTGAGGACAGGTGAGTCATAGCCAGCTCCTTCTCTTGGGAAGAGGAATCTAAAGGAGGAATAGACTAGTCAAGAAGATATTGGACATAGGAAATGTGGTTTGGTAAGCACAATCTTTCCATATGATTTCTGGAATTTTCTATCAGCAAAATCCACTATATCCTCCATGTCATCTCCATGTCATCTCATCATCCTCCAGTCCTCTTACTGCCTGATTTGATTGAAGCCATCTTCCCAACTCACTTCTTTTTTTTTGTACTCTAACAATTCTTCAATTCCATATGGGCCTATTGTCCATGGATACAACATTATTTCCATCTTTCCGTCACATGCCCTTACCTCCTCTTTATTGAGCTGAGATTCTGTGGTCCATTGTTAAAGCGACTCCTTTAGATACACTCTTGGTTCCCTTATCTCATCCCTCTCTGTCATGCTTACTTGGATTAGCCACCACCTTGGTTGAACCCAACTCACTCACCTACTCAGATGTGCCTGCATAGGTGAATATGGCTGGAAAAAGATGCACAATTATGCTCACTGGTATCAGCTTAGATTAACAACCTGGAAACTCCCATAATTCTGGCCAGGAGTGATATATATATTTCATTTCTATAGTTTATGCGCCCTCTCACTCTTTACACTTCCGTCCGTCCTTCCATCACCAACTTCTTCCTCATTTTTACTTGTACTGGTGTAGTAGTCCATTTCCCATTACTATAATGAAATACCCAACGGTGGGTAATTTATAATGAGAAGAAGTTTATTAAGTTCACAGTTTTGGAGACTGAAAGTCCAATAACATGATGTAAGTTTTGGTGAGGGGCCTCCCTGGTTGCTTCACCTCATGGCACATAGCATTATGGTGGGAGTGCTTGCAAGAGGGAGGGATCACATGGAGATAAGAGAAGCCAGAGTGTGGGAGGTGCAGGCTTACTCTTTCATAACACCTTACTCTCATGGACTAATTAGGATCCAAAAGAGCTACTTAATTCCTTCTGAAGGTAGTGTCCTCAATGACCTAATTAATTCCCAGTTGTCCTACCCCTCCTTAATACTGCCACTCTGGGGACCAAGATTCCAACACATGAATTAATGGGAGATAAACCACATCTAAACCATAGCAACCAGTGACCTTTCCTCCCCTATTTTACTAAGGGAAAAGAAGCAATCAAGCAATCAGAAGACAATTTCCAAGGCACTACATCCATTGTCTGACTGCTTCTGTACATACTCCCATCTTTCCCCACTTCCAGTGGAGGGACTGTCCAAGCTGAACCCAAGGCCAACCTTTGTGCTTTGTACTGTCCCTCTTGTGTACTCAAGGGCATCACTTGTCATTTCTCCATTCTCTCCTACAGTATCACTTCTTCTGTCTCTTGGGTTGAATCATTCCTATTATGCTACAAACCTTTTTTTTTTCTTTTCCATCTTAAACCACACTTCTTATGACCATTCATCCTCTCCAAATATCACAATCTGTTTATCTGACTCCCTTGACATCAACTTTCCTTAAAAGTGTTGTATAAATGTGCTTCTTTACTCCCTGGATTTCTCAGGAATTCACTTCAATCAGGCTTCCACTCCCACCATGCCTCTAAAATAATGCTTGCTTAGGTCACCAAATAGCCATCTGTGTTGTTCACCATCCCTCACTTGCCCTGATTTGATGCAGATTCTGACATGACCCATCACTTTATCCCCTGAGAACCCAGTTTCCACTTATTGTGAGGCAGTCTCTGCTTCTTGTGGGTTCTTCTCTTCCCTTAACTGGCTTTCTCCTCTGTCTCCTTCACTGGCTCTTCCTCATTCTCATTTTCTAAATGTCGGAGTGCTCCAGGGCTCAGTCCTTACCTTCTTCACTGTACACACTCAGTTTCTTAAGTGATTAATCGAGGCTGTGGCTTTAAATACCATTCACAGGTTAGAGACTCCTATATTTGTATCTCCAGCACATGTCTCTTTCCCAAGTCACAGACTTGTATAACTGAATCATGACATCTCCATTTGAATACCAGATAAGCATCTTGAACATAGCATCTGTAAAACTGAGCTCCTGATCGTATCTCCTAAACCTGCTTTGTCAGCTCCACATAAACCCTTTTTCTCCTGCATCCTTCACATTCTGTATCTCAGAAATTTCTATTGACCCTGTCTTTGAAAGAGATCTAGAATCCTATTTCTCACTGCTTTCCCTGCTACCACCCTGGTCTAAGCCATCAACTCTTCTTGCCTGGATTATAGCAGTCACTCCCCAACTGGTCTCTCTGCTTCTGATCTTACTCCTTAGAGACCATCCCCAACATGTGCCCAGAGGGATCCATTAAAAATGTGAGTTAGGTTATGCCCTTTCTCTTCTTGGAAGCCTCAGGGTTTCCATACCTGACTCAGAATGGCCATGCATTTCTGCCTTCATCTCCGGCTTCTCTTCTCTTGATTGCTCTGCTCCAGGCACATCTTTCCTCAAGGCCTTTGCATTGTTTCCTTTGCCTGAAATATATGCATGGCTCATGCCTGTATTTCCCTTAAATTTCTATGAGTGAGGCTTCCCTGACTCCTCATAATAAAGAGCAGCCCACCTTGCCAGGGTCCTCCCCATCATTCTCACCCTAACCCACACCTGCTTTTAACCCTATCCAACAATCTACATGTACTGGCTTATTTTAATTATCTGTGTTTCCTTAACTAGGATGTGATGACCTGGAGGGTTGGGACTTGCTGTGCATGGTGTCAGGCATATAGTAGGAACACGGCAAATATTTGGCCAATGAATGAATGAATGGTGCATGATAGGAGTACAATACATGTTTTTGTACAAGTGGCTGGGAAGAAATGACACCAGATAAAAACAAAGAGCGTTGGCTCAGAAGTTGCAGGAACAGTGTTAAGTATTGAAGAAAAATTGGAGAGAATAAAGTCTAGGCTCAGATTATTAATTCTTCAGATGGTCATTGCTCACTTTTGAAGGAGCAACTTCTGTGGTGTGATGGGGGAAAAAACCATAAAGCAAAGCTCTGAGGAGTGAAGATGGGAAAGGAAAAGAGGTGAATGACTTTCTCAGGAAGTGAAAGGAGGGAATTGGAATGGAGCACTAGTTTGAGAGAAAGCAGGGGTACAAGAAAGTATTTTATCTTTTTTTTTTTTAAAAAATAAAAAACCCAGACATATTAAAACAATGAGCCAATAACTATCTGAGAGGAGGATAGTCCAAAAAATATACTGAATATGTACATAAGTTAAAGTACTCATGTTTCATGGAAGCAATTCTGATTGGGCCTATGTGGGTTAGTTACCTTATGGATGAACTGTGGCAGTTTTAATACCAGGATGTACAACTGGGCTGCTTCTTTTATTGCCCAACAAAGGTGTGTTCAGGGGTGAAAATTCATTTTACTATCATCCTAAGAAAAACAGAATGAAGATTATACATTTTCTATCCTCTCTACCCTGCTAAACAACAAACAAACAAACAAATAAAGCCCAATGCATAATTCACTCCAAAGCCAAATAGAGTTTTAGAATTGCTTAATAGTGTCTTATCTACATGTCCTCTTAATGTAAATATTAGCATCGCTGATACTGAGGCTTTCTCAAATGCAGCTCCTGATTGAGGTTGAGATCAATTTGGTTTGGCAAAGACTCTGAACATTTATGAATAAAAATATTTAAGTATCTATGACAACGTTGTTTATTGGCAAGGCTGTTAGCTGGAACTGCTGAGATTCTTGTAAATACACTAACAACAGACAAGGGGAAACTTTGAACTCTTGCATGGAGGCAGGACCAGTGCTAGGAATTTTTATACCTGTCACCTCCTTTAAATCTTCCGTCAGACCTCAGACCCAAGTATTATTGGCTCCATTTTTGCAGGTAAAGCATGTACAACCTAAGGATATTGGCCAGTGGCTCAAGCCCACTCTGTGGTGAGAGCAGAGGTGATGATAAAACTTGTCTGCCTCACTCGGTGGCCCAAGATGTCTCATAACTGGGAGCAGCTGGTGTTTGCTAATTAATCAGTTGAAGTGTTATGTGGGTGCTATGCATACAGATCATGTGCATATTGTTTTTTTTCCTCATGGTATAAAGTGAATTTCATTTCAGTGGGGCCAGATGGGAACTTGAGGATTGCACTGGTGGCTTTTCTGTAGGCTAAAGGGCTGCGTGTGGCACCTGGACCTCCGCAAGAGTATAAGTGGCTTTTCCTCGCAGGTGGATGGCTCCTGGGCCAAATGGGAACCATATGGATCGTGCTCACGCACCTGTGGTGGGGGTGTGCAGCTGGCTCGGAGGCAGTGCAGCAACCCCACCCCTGCCAACGGGGGCAAGTACTGCGAAGGAGTGAGGGTGAAATACCGATCCTGCAATCTGCAGCCCTGTCCCAGCTCAGGTGAGGGGGAAGCAACAGTGTTCTGCTTCGACTGGGAGGCTAAATGGCTCAAGAGAATGAGGCACTAGATGTCTTCTTAATTAAGTACTGACAAGACTCTCTTTCAAGTAGGAATTCGGGGCCCATGAACTTGGTGGGAAAAAATTGCATCTCTATTTTTACTGAAGTTTCTATCTAAAACTTAGTATTCCCTTCAATTATAAATTGAGTATTTCTTTTTCTTTTCTTTTTTAATTGTTTCATCTAAATTCTGATATTTCCTTCACTTAGGCAACAAATTGAAAAGTAATAGAAATACCTGTGACTGTCACCAATAGAAATCATTGCTATTTTTATATGATATTTCAGTTGAAGAATTCTCAAAATGCCATTTATGCTTATCCATCCCTACTTTAAAATTACAGCAGTTATTAGATTCGTTATTGAATCATGTTATTTAATGCATTATCAAAGAAGCATACATATCACAAATATGTTTCAAAATATGCTGATAGTTGTATATTATTATAATTGGTGTTCTTGGTAAATTTATATAATTTATGCACTTAATAACATTATTGTGAAGATAGTTTCAATAAACTATTGACGGCTTTCATAATCCAAAAAATATTTAAGATACCTGTTATAAAGGGAGTTCAAGGCAAGATTGCTGGAGAGGGTGGCACATTCCTTTGAGGATGCATTATTATCCGTGCCCTGTATTATCCTTTGAGTTGGGGAGCTTGTGGCTCTAGTGATGAGCATCACACTCTTGAGGGTAGGAAAGGGCTGTTTAGATTCTTGATGCTAGCCATCCCAGGGAGGGATATTCTCTTTTACACTTCCCATGGTACTTCCCTGAAAATTCCTGCATGTGATTTCTCCCTCTCCAGCCTCTGGCAAGAGCTTCCGGGAAGAGCAATGTGAGGCTTTCAATGGCTACAACCACAGCACCAACCGGCTCACCCTGGCCATTGCATGGGTGCCCAAATACTCAGGCGTGTCTCCCAGGGACAAGTGCAAACTCATCTGCCGAGCGAATGGCACTGGCTACTTCTATGTGCTGGCACCCAAGGTGAGCAAGATGGGGCAGGAGACAGAGCAGGGATTAGGCTTTGGGGGAACATCAGGCTGAGCTGTCCCTCTTCCTCTTCTTTCCCTTCTGGGAATGCTGCAGGTGGTGGATGGCACGCTGTGTTCTCCTGACTCCACCTCAGTCTGTGTCCAAGGCAAGTGCATCAAGGCTGGCTGTGATGGGAACCTGGGCTCCAAGAAGAAGTTTGACAAATGTGGAGTGTGTGGGGGAGACAACAAAAGTTGCAAGAGGGTGACAGGAATCTTCACCAAGCCCATGTGAGTTCTGGGTCCTGGAAGGTGTATCCAGGGAGCAAGTTGGGAGGAGGGTGAGTGGAATTGTCCCAGTCATTGGAAGCTTGGTTTAGGTTGGGGTGAATATTAGATTCTGGCCATACTCTTACTGTGGAGGCCACTCATTCTCTTCTAGGGCTGATAATCATCTGAACCATCCATCCATCCATCCATCCATCCATCTATCCATCCATCCATCCATCCATCCATCCATCCATCCATGCATCCACCTACCCATCCATCCATCAATCCATCCATTTATTTAGCAAAGGAAGATGAATCTTCAAGAACACACCAAAGCAGATGATATTTAAGGAAATGTCAGTTTTGTTAGGTTCTGTCTAGCATTCTATGATCTGCATTCTAATCTCATTTCTCTTCTGCCTGATCTTAGACAAGTGACTCCAGTGAGTTCTAGATGTTCTTATTTGTAAAGTGGATATAATACTAATGTACTTCACATGAGCTCTTGTGAGGAGTAAGGGAGTTAGTCCAAATAAAATGGTTAGTGTACTACCTGGTGTAGAATAAATGCTCAATACATGTTCAAAAAGATAATAAGGTGACAGAGCGTGACAGCTGCTACCCTCTCCCTGAGCCTGAGGCCCAGGCCCTGGTGGTCAGATGAGGGAGAGAATGGCAATAAATTGCCAAGGGACAGTGAACAAGTGGCTGGGACTGAAGGGACCTCTGCTTCCTAGGAAAAGTGCACTAGGATCTGCTGAAGAATCATCTCTGGGCCTCTTCTAGTCCCAACTCTAGTGTCTGTAGCTCCCCAGCCTTCTGAGGTCAAACACATTCTCTTTTCTCCTTTCATTCCCATTTCTCCAAGGTCCTGACCCATGTTCTGGAAGAACAGGACACTTGAGATCTCAGTTTAGAGTAGGGAGAATAAATGCCCTTGAAAACTTGGGAGGCCAAGTACTGATGATGGAGAGATGAGATGGCTGTCCTGGAGTCTGATTGGACCCTCTGGACATGACATCTTCTGCTGAGTTTCTAGGTGGGAGATGACAGGGAGGGTACCGAGCCCCTTCTCTGGAGCACTGGTGCTGCAGGTGGAGGTGATCCAGGCTGTCCTTCACAGGGACCTGCAGTGGGGCCACATGGGGAGTTAGAGGTACTTTGGTTAAATGACAAGTGTTCTTTCACAGATGACTGGAGCTAGAAGGGGCTGTAGAAATCATCTAGGTTAACCCACTTATTATATAGATGTGAATATCAGAACATTGAGGAACTGTTTAAAGTTACCAGGGAATTGGTATCTGAGCCAGCTGGATTTCCATACCCAAGTCCAAGGCCAGTACAGTCTCACTGCATTGAGCTCCCAGCTTTGGACTTGAGAACCACAGATTTATTTCCTTTTTCCCCCTCCTCATTATCACAGATTATACCTATGGGGTTCTCACTGTGCCACACACTGTGTGACATGCTTCACATGCTTTGGCTTCTTTATCCCTCCTTACAGTTGAATGAGGTATGTGAGATTATGAACTCCATTTTACTGGTGAGGACACAGAGGTTTAGACAAACTGAGAAAAACTTATTCAAGACCAATAGCAAAGCAAAGGATGAGGTTCTCTCTACCTCTACAACTTCTGCTTTCACTCCCACTCTAGAATTCACCACAAGATAAATTTACTGAAGAAAAATGATCATGAGGCTCTATGGGCAGCTATTCAGTTTCAGATAATCAAGAAATCTGTGTACCACCTTTTAACTTGGTGTGTTTCCATCATGACCTGGATGGTGCTTGAGCAGCCTCACCTTTGCAATCTGCTACCAACATCTTTGTGACCTGCTCTGGGGTTTGTGAATGGTGATCAATTATGACTTTAAAGGGGTATGAGGTCCTTAGGTCCAGGCATCTGTCTAATGCACAATCCCCTTTTTTAACCCTAGGCATGGCTACAATTTTGTAGTGGCCATCCCTGCCGGTGCTTCAAGCATTGACATCCGCCAGCGTGGTTACAAGGGGTTGATTGGGGATGACAACTACCTGGCCCTGAAGAATAGCCAAGGCAAGTACCTGCTCAATGGGAACTTTGTGGTAACGGCTGTGGAGCGGGACCTGGTGGTGAAGGGCAGCCTGTTGCGGTACAGTGGCACGGGCACTGCGGTGGAGAGCCTGCAGGCTTCCCGGCCTATCCTGGAGCCCCTGATTGTGGAGGTCCTCTCTGTGGGGAAGATGACACCACCTCGAGTTCGCTACTCCTTCTATCTGCCCAAAGAACCTCGGGAGGACAAGTCTTCCCACTCCAAGGACCCCCGGAGCCCTTCGGTGCTACACAACAGCGTCCTTAGCCTTTCCAATCAAGTGGAACAGCCAGAAGATCGGTCCCTGGCACGCTGGGTGGCAGGCAGCTGGGGGGCTTGCTCTGTGAGCTGTGGAAGTGGCCTGCAGAAGCGGGCTGTGGACTGTCGGAGCTCCCCAGGGCAGCGTGGGGCATCTGCCTGTGATGCAGCCCATCGGCCAGTGGAGACACGAGCCTGTGGGGAGCCTTGCCCAACCTGGGAGCTTGGGACTTGGTCACCCTGTTCCAAGAGCTGTGGGAGTGGATTTAAGAGACGTCCACTCAAGTGTGTGGGCCATGGAGGCCAGTTGCTGGCCCGGGACCAGTGCAATCTGCGACGCAAGCCCCAGGAACTGGATTTCTGCATCTTGAGGCCCTGCTGAGAGACTGTTCTTTTCTCCCCTCCATTCTCTGCCCCACTGTGGTGCTGGTGTTCTGGCTGGCTGGAGTAGAGGACGGCAGCCAGGGACCTGTGCCAAGATGTCACTCGCATCCAGGACAAGGACCATGGGTTGGGGTGAGCGGTTCCCTCCTCCCTGGACTGGGCAGGGGGTAGCCAACTAATGCACAGTCTACCTCATGTTCCGCTCCTCGGGGACCTGGTTGCTGGGAGAGGCTGTGGGGTGTAGGTACTGGGCAGAAGGTGCTGAGGCCCAGTTTCCAAGGGACCTGGAGGATGGGCACCTCCCAGGCAGAACTTCAGGGACCTTGGCCTCCATAAGGGAGGCCACAGGCTGCTGGAAGAGCCGTGGCCCAGCAGCTTGGCACCCTCAGGTGGCCCCAGGGACTCTGAGCCATCTCTGAAAAAGGCAGGGTTTTCACGGTGCTTATGGCCCTTTTTCCTTTTCTAACTGACATGGATTGAACAATAAACACTGCCTGGGTTGGGTGGTAGTTGAAGGGAGAGTGAGATTGGGAATAACTGGAGCCTGAGCCCCTGCATTTGAAAAGAGACAGATGTATATAGGGAGTCTGGAGGTTTCTTAAATCTTCGTTTTGGCCCTCCCTGAAAGAGTCAGCCTCCTCTCCCCCAGATGTCCAGGACATTAGACTAACAGAAGGGCTGCCACCAAGGTGCCCTCTGAGACTCTGCAGGCACGGGGAGGAAGTCCACAGGAAGCCTGCCATTTTTGTCAAGAGGAAAGTGACCATTGCAAAAAGAGGCTGACACTTTAAAGGGGTGATAGATTCTGTAGCTGAAGTAGGGAATGTGAGGAGAGATCTAGAGGGTTTTACTGTCATTGGAGCCGAGGTGGGTGAGTGCTGAGCGCTGGCCTGGCTTTGGGGGGATATTACCTTAGAATGGTGAAGGAGGCTCCAGGTCTAATGAGTTTTTCCTAATGAGGTGGATATATAATATGGTTGACGCTATAGTTCTACATTGTTTCAGAAACTACAAAGTGACCACAGTTCTTTGCCCACTGAGCAACTAGTGGGACATGACCAGGAGGGCCAGGCCCTGAACATTCACATGCCTGCAAGTTACTCTTCTTCCTGATAGCGCCTGCTGTCTGCCATGGGCACATTATGTTGCATCTCCAGGCCTTTGCCTCTCCAGTTGGGAAATGGGATTCATTGTTTGCTACCTCAGATTATGCTCTCTGGGAACCCACCCTGTCCCTCCCCAGGGACAGAGGTGATTGGTGCTCCCACCACACCCAGCTGTCATCTTTACAGACTGATCTGCCCAGTCACAAAGATGAATGCGTGATGAGTGGCCACCTGCTGGGCTTCCAGATAGGAAGACCAGGGTGGTGGTGGTGTCTCTCTCTTTAAATTCCTTGGGAGCTGGTTTCAGGAGACACCAAGAATCCATGAGACCCAGGGGCCCTTGGCAGTCACTAGTGGGAACTGCTAGAGACCTGTCTGTCTTATAGATGTGTCAGAGGTGTAGAAACCAAGGCGTTTTTCTGTAGCTCCATGTGGGAAGATATTTTGAGGTTAGAGATCTTTTGGCTAAGCAGATGCCTCAGTGAGAAAAGGGGGTAGATATTCTGCTTTGGAATATAGGTAATTAGTCTAGGTCCTCAGTGGAGAACTTCATGAGGTAAGATCAAAACTTGCATCTTCTTGGGGAGACAGGTTCAGTTCTTTTATGTGGTGTTCCCAAATAGTCAAAAATCCATAAACCAATCAGCTGACCAGCCTAACCTTTATGATGGTCTAATCCTGTCCCAGATTGGAGACATTGCATAGAACTCCTGCAGGGGGTGGAAGGCATGCAGCTCTCTGAGGGGGAGGATGGAGCGAGGAGGAATCCCCCTCCTTGTACCAGTGAGCACTGTGAAGTTGCAGAGGCAAAAGGCCCCCCGGGGCTCTAGGGCCTAGTCAGAAGGGAGCTTTGCCAGCTGACGACAGCGCTGCACCCTGTGCTTAGGGCATTCTCTCTGTTGTGAGGAGAGGGTGGTCAGGGGGCTGTGCAGAAAGAGGGAGGGTGGGAAGGGAGGTGCTGTCACGGGGGAGACTGCCCCTTTGCAGAGCAGTGTTTGCCGTTAGCTGTTTTACAAGTCATTTCAAGGATGGATAACCACTCTTGTTCCTGACGCAAGCCAGCTCTCCATGATCTTTTCTGTCATGGTGTCTGTTTGTTTGTTTTTTCTTTTCTTTTTCCAAAGAAGTATGACCAAGACAACTTGGGGAATTTGTTTTGTCTTTGAACACTTCCTCACTCCAACCATGTTCTCCAGGGCTGAGTAGAGCCGAGACTCAAGCATTAGGTTTCTGGTGATGGAATAAAACATTAGGGTGCTTTCTCATGCCTATGGAAGAAGAGGAACATTCTGGGGGCTCCAGCAACTTCCTCAGTGGGACTTTGGGCTCAGGATTCCCTAGCTTACCTTGCCCATCATGTGCACTGATTGGACGAGTTTGAACCAAACACCCTTTTCTGGACCTTGTCATTCTAGAGAGGGGGGCTGGAAGGAGCTGAGGACAGTTTGAGGGTCCTGAGTGCCCCAAGCCTGGGAGTCAGCTCCTGAAGACACTAAATACTGTCACTGATAGAGCCCCCACCGCGCTGGGTTCTTTCGCATTCCCTGTACTGAGGAAGGATGGGAGAACCTGGGCACTGGCTGGGCGTGTATACTGTGTATACAAGAGAGCTGGCTGCTGAGGTGACAACAGCCTGCTCCTAATAAAGTCATAGTATTTAAAACCCGTGTCCTGCCTCTCTGACTGCATCTCATTCATGAGCTGACTCCTTGTGTTTATGGAACACACACCTGTGCCAGCCATGGTGCTGTGGAGACAACAGTGACTGTGACCGGCACAATCCTGGTCCTGTGCTGGTAAGCTGGATGTGGGAGCTCACATCAAAAGCAAAGAGACAGAATCACGAGAGACTGTGGTAAGTGGGAAGAAGAATCCAGCAGAGGCTAAGAAAGAGAATCTGGCCTGGCTGTTTGTGGACAGGTGGTAGAGTGACCAGAGCCCCTTAAAGACTGGGACAATGAGCCTGAGGCTGAAGGATGAGTCATAAACTCGGTTAAAAGGGTGTAGCAGCCTTTCAGCAGAGGTGCAGTGGGCCCAGGCTGGGGACTTTAGAGAGGGCACTGTGGCTGTCCTTGGTGTGGGGGACAAGGCATGAGGACAAGCCAGAGGGGGCCCATTATGCAAGAATTCTAGTTGCCTGCCTGAGGCGAAAACCCCAGTTTCCTGAAGGAAAGCATTCTGTTTGGAGAATAATCACCCCTTTCTGGGCTGGCAATTTTAGTGAATACATGGGCATGGGAGAGATGAGACTTGTTTTCAAAGATACTCCAGAAACTTGTGTTGGTCCCATATCCGAGCTCCTCATTTCCCACCTGCAAATAAGAAAGGTAGATTCAGGGGTCTGTCCAGTGGTTTGGTACACTTATGGTTTGGAACTTGGCAGCTGATGATCTGGTTTCAGAACCATTTCAAGAGTTTTCTCCCTTTGGCTCTCTGGCAGAGCAAGGCCATGGGGAATGACTTTCTCATGAGATGGGAGAGACACTGCTGGAGGCATGTGTGTGAGGAAAACAGAGAGGGGGCCTTGGGCAAACTTCACTTGATAGAAGTTTCTAGAAAAGAAGGAACCAGCCAGAAGAGCTTGTATGACCCTATGAACTAGCTGGAGGCCTGGAAGGGACCTGGAGGGGTTCAGGAAGATACCTAGATTGAATCTCAGCGATAAGATCTTTGTGAAATTGCCCCAATGGGGTCACATTCCTGGGGCACTTATTTTTGTTGTCCTTCTGGTTTCCATTGTAGCAATTGCCTCTCAAACCTTTCTAATTAAAAGTTCCCTTGGACTCTTGGACTGGTTTGGGGGTTAGCAAATAAAAGAGGAAGCAGAGGAGGTGGGGTTCCACCTGGAAGCCTAGCCCCAAGGCTCAGGAGAAGGTGATGAGTATGTTACCTTCCACCAAAGCTGCTGTCTGGAGCACACAAACCTGCCTGTACTTAATTTTAAACTTTCTGGAGGGAGAAGAAGCAGTTTTCTAACTCCACTGGCCTTTGAAGAGAGGCAGGAACAATTTGCTTTGTAATCCATTCTCAGGAGAGGAATGCATATTTGCTCTAGTAGAGGAAAAAACCTTGATAATTGCAAAAAGGTCTTGACTCCCTGGCTGGGGCTCAGCCTGCCTGGCGAGACCTAGCTGGCCCCCAGCAGGCTGAGCTGGCACTGCTAAGAGTAGTGTGTGTGACCCCAGAGTCTTTCAGTTGCTCCTTGGCTTGTGCCCAATCCTCATTGGGTGAGTCAGCCCCGAAGCCTTCAATCCCAGCAACAAATCCCACAAGAGCAAATCATCTCCCTTCAGGCTCTTCAGATGCCACCGTGTCACCCCCACCCGCTCCAGCTCACAGCAGCTGTGAGAGACTTGCAATGAGATGCCCAAGGCACCCAAGTAGACTCTGCCAAAGAAGAGGACAGTCACTCCAGAAACTGTGGGCTCACCCCTAACCTCCCTCTCCAGGCACTGGGAGGATTCTGCCCAACCCCACCAGTGGTGCTCAACTGGGAAGCCCTTGTGTTATTTTGTTCTCCTGTGGTAATGTAAACCACATTCCAAGAACTGACCAGAATGTTGTTAAGGAGGAGATAGGAGGCATTCCAATGAAGAAACAGGAATGTTTGTTTCCAAAGAAGAGCAATTTTGTCAGAAAAGATGAGAGAGAAGGAATGAAGAGAGAAGGGATCCCTTCATGAAAAAATAGATTTGGAAAAGTGGTGAAAATACTGTCAGGGTGAATGGTTGGAGGCTGATGTGATGATATTAGCTGCACCCCTGAGTAGTTACAAACAATCCCATTCTTCCTGCTTCCCCACTTGCCCTCCCCAAACAGGCCATGGTCCCAGACAGCTTACAGGGGCATGGGCTGCAGACATCTGAATCCCAGGCCTCACGGCACTGGGATCTAGTCTCATGGTGGGGCTGCCTCACCTCTACCATGATGAGGGAGAAGATGCTCCTTATGTAGTTTTGCTGTTGCTAGATGTTTTGAGAACAGAGCCTTTGAGAGTTCATGGAGAAATGTTTTCAGGAGTGTGTTAGTCAGCTTTGCATCACTGTGACCAAAATACCTGACATAACTTAAAGGAGGAAAGATTTATTTCGCTCATGATTTTAAAGGTTTCAATCCATGGTAGATTGGTGAGGCCGAGCATCAGGGCAGAAGAGTGTGGTGGAAGAAACCTGCTTAGCTCATGGAAAGAGAGGTGAAGAGAGCAGACAGGGACAAGAAATACCTTGCAGGACTTGCCCCCAGTAACCAATTTCCTCCAATAATGTCCCACTGCCTACAGTTTTCAGCACTGCCCATTAGTCCATTCAGCTTAATTAATGGATTAATTCACTGGGGAGGTCAGAGCTGTCACGATTCAATCACTTCACCCAAGCCCTATGTCTTGCTGCTTTGGGGACACAGTCCTCCACACATGAGACTTTGAGGGACATTCAAGATCCAAACCATGACAAGCAGTATGACATGACCTCTTCAAGCACCTTCTTTGGGCTGGGCCTGTGGGGTCTCCTCCAGCTGTCCTCTGCTGTACTTTAGGAGTTCTTGTTAGTTTTTTGGTGACACAGGGAGACAATTACCTGTTCCTTTCTTTTCCCCGGAAAGATTTCTTATAACAATTTAGAAGCATGTTCTTGAGGCAATGTTCTGTAGCTCCTAAAGGACCAATTAACACAACCTGAACTTGCCTAAAATTCCTATAATCTCTCCTAATAAGAAATGTACTCTCCTAATTGGTTTCTTGGCATGTTTCCCAGTGAAGCTCCTTTTGACATTTTCAGAGTTGGAATTTGGCACCTGGAACTACCCTGCCACCAAATGAACCTCAAGTTCAGAGAAGCCCAGATACCTTGAATTGTTTGAGTGACTCTGAATGTCAAAGGGGCAGAAAGGGTGGGAAGTGAGTCAAATGCCGGTAATGGAGTTGCTACCCTGGAGATCTTTGTTTTCCTTGAAAACTTCCACAAGTGTTTTTTTTTCCTTTTCCTTTCCTTAAAATAATTATGAAAAGATACAATAATATGAGAACATATAGAAGGTTTAAAGAATAATAAAAAAAGCTTAGGTATTAAACAACCACTGTAAGAAATCAGACCCCAACAAAGTTAAGGGCCCCTGTGACACATCCCCTGTTCTGCCTCTCTCTCTCTATGGAGGTAATCATTATCTCCAGTTTGGTGTTTGTCATTCTGAGACATTCCTTCAGTCTTTTACTATGTTTGTATTGATAAACAGTGCATAATTTGCTTGGCATGTTTTTTAACTGTCTACACAGGGTAGCACTTTATATGTACTCTTTGAAAAATTACTTTCTTAGCTTCAATTATGTCTGTGGGAGTCATTTATATGGATACAGGTAGTTCTAACTGATTTGTTTTGTGGCCTGGTATATTGTTTCACTATGTGGTATGAATGGTGGACATTAAGGAATTTTTTTTCTGGGATTTTGCTACACAATTTTGCTTTGAAAATTCTTGCACATGTTTTCTAGTGTGGATGCTATGAGAGTTTATAAGAGTATTTACTATTTCTGGGCAATGGAGTTTGTGCACTTTCAGCATTATTATTAGCTATTTCCAAATTGGCCTTTGAATTGGTTTTTATTATGACTGGGGGTTTGCACACAATGCTTTTCTTTTTTTCAGGAGCTTCCTTTCTACTTCCCGATGCATCTTACTGTTGGGTAGGATTCACTTTGTCCAGTCTCTGTTTCTGTCTCTGTCTCTGTCTCTCCTGTTACTAGCTAGAATTCTAGCAGAAAATAGACGACATGGTTAACTTAGGATAACTTGAGGTAAGAGTGGAGTAAGATCAATTTACAAATGTGTAGGCAGATGTTAGAAACACCCCATGAGACAGAGAAGTACCTAGTATGGCAAGAGACCTGAAGGGTAAGAGGAGAAATGGCTAAGAGGACAGTGTTAGAAAGGTCTACATAGTTAGGGCTCCTTGACAAGAGCACATTAGTCTATTTTCCACTGCTGTAACAAATACTAGAGGTTGAATAATTTAAAAAGAAAAGAGGTTTCTTTAGCTCATAGTTTTAGAGGCTGAAATTCTAAACAGCATGCACTGGTTGTAGTGTGGGCTCCAATGGCTACATCACATCACAGAAGATGGTATAATGGCAGGATACATGCAAGAGGGATCATATGGTAAGACAGGACAGAAAGCCAAAAAACTGGGAAGGGTTGTCAGTTTTACATTTTTATAAAAACCTTCCCTTGAAAACTAACCACAGTTCCATGGGAACTACGCTAATTTCTTCCAAGGGCAGTGCCTCCAAAGACCTCCCATTAGGCCTTACCTTCTAAAGGTCTTATCACCACATTGGGGACTGTTGTGGTTTGGATATTAGGTATTCCTCCAAAGCTCCTGTATTAATGCAGGAATATTCAGAAGTAAAACGACTGGATTATGAGAACTATAATGCAATCCATCCTAATTTGAATGGACTGCCTGGGTGGCAAGTGTAGTAAGGAGGGGTGTCTGTCACTGGACAAGGTGGATCACCAGAGGTGTTCCCCGGAAGGGTTCACCTTCCCGATGGCCCCTTCCTCCCTCTCTCTCTGCTTCCTGGCTGCCATAAGCAGAACAGAGCTTCTCCACCATGTCCTTCCATCATGATGCCCTGCTTCACCTCAGGCCCAGATCAATAGAGTCAGCCAACAATG